TCTCCAGCATCATTTCTATCACCAAGGCCATATTTTCCAACTATGGGTCCTTCCTCTTTGCTCCCAACCAATCACCAGTAATGATCAATACATCTTGATTGCATGTTTGATCAATTTCAGATTGAAGAAGTTGGTAGAATTCTTCTTTTTCATCCTTGCTGACTTTAGTGGTTGGTGCGTAAATTTGAATAATAGTGGTATTAACTGGGCTTTCCTGTAGGCGCATGGATATTATCCTATCACAGACAGTATTGTACCTCATGATTGGTCTGGATATGTTTTGGGTTTTTTTTTTAACAGTGAATGCAACACCATTCCTTTTCAATTTGTCATTCCTGGCATAGTAAACCATGTGGTTGTCAGATTCAAAATGGCCAATACCAGTCGATTTCAGTTCACTAATGCCTAAGATATCGATGTTTATGCATTCCTTTCATTTTTGACAACTTCCAATTTTCCCAGATTCATACTTCATACATTCCATGTTCTGATTTTCAATGGATGTTTACAGCTGTTTCTCTTAATTTTGAGTTGTGCCCCATCAGCAAATGAAGGTCCTGTGGGCTTTTCTCCCATGAGCTTTACTCCATTCGCGTTATCGCCATCACCTCTGAGGAGGCAGCTCTTCCCCAGTCGCATTTTGAGTGCCTTCCAACCTGAGGGGCTCATATTCAGGCACTGTATCTGACAGTGTTTCTCTGCTATTCGTAAGGTTTTCAGTGACTAAAAATTCGGAAGTAGTTCATCACTCTTTCTTTCTAGTCTGTCTTTTTCTGGAAGCTCATCTGAAACCTGTCTACCATGGGTGACCCTGCTGGTTATTTGAAATACCGGTGGCCTAGCTTTCAGAACCATAACAACTCACAAGCCACCACAGTATGACAAACTGACAGACGAATGGTGGCCATTTGGTTTTAAGTGGAAACTGTCACTTTAAATTTCGAGGAGCTCTGTGCACATGCATAGTAGAACCCTCCAGGGGTGGTGGTGGGATATTCATTCGCTCAGGCATCCCCTCTAGTCACCAGAATGGAGGTGCACAGACAGTGAACAGATACCAAAAAATGAATGTCCACACCTGTATCTCTGCAGAAACTCATTTAGCTAGATATATATTATAAATATATATCTAGCTAAATGAGTTTATATCTAAAACCTTTATCTTAACAAAATTTTATGATTTTTAAACACTTGATTTTTTATATATTATCCTAATAATTGCCAAGTAGAATAATCCTATCCTATCATCCTGGTGTGGCCCTGTAGGATCAGCACTAGACTGTTAACCACATGGTCTATGGTTCAAACCCACTAATCACTCCTTGAAAGTAACTGACTGACTGGATGTCATTTAGCAACAACAGACAGCATTGCCCTCTGAACTTTAGCTCCTTATCTGTGAAACACTTTTCATTCCTTCTCTAGTTCTAAGAATCTTTGATTCTATTACTATTTGCCTTACGTCTAAATGTAATGTGACTTCTTATTGTAATATGACTTACACCAAAGCAAGATGCCTTTTTACTCAACTGTATTACTATTTGCAGACCAGCGTAAGAAAACAAAACTATGGCAAGAAAAAGTAGTCTCCTTTTAAGGCATGTGGTATAGAATACATTGACACTTTTTGCATCATCTTGAAGTTCTCATAAACTTGGAGAAAAACAGATATAATTATTATTAATTGAATTGACATTGTGTAACAGCTTATCCCCTGGTTAAATTACACTACGGGACAAAGTTCCATTGACAGGTGTGGGGATGCTGAGATATCCTTTTGCTTTGTGATCACAATGATTCTAGTTCATTTAATGTAATGGAATGATCTTATAGATTTTTTACTCTAATGAAATACAGTTTTAAAATATTCAGAACTCTATATGCTGAAAATAAAGTGTTTTGGACACTTGGTGCTGTGACTTGAAATATTAATTTCTCAATCAAGACGCGGGGTGGCGCTGCAGGCTAAGATTGTGAATAAAGGTCCCTAAAAAGCTCTGATTCCTTTGTGCTAGAAGACCGAGTCAAAATCTCATAGAAGACGCTTGGTACGCAGTTACGGAGCTCCCAACGAATTGAGGCAGCAATATTTTAGACAAATTTAAGATTAAAAACAACGTTGTGGCGAATCCTTAAAGCACGAAGTCAAAATTAAACGTCTCAAATCGTTTTATATCTGCTAAGAAGAACTGGCTGTATGCACACGGACTACAAAATGGAGGCATTAGAGAGAATTCACCCAAAAAGGCAAGTAATAATCTTTATTATGGTGGTGGTCTTGTCTCAGACTCACTCTGAGCCCATTCGTTATTCTGTGCTGGAGGAAACAGAGAGCGGCTCCTTTATAGCTGATCTGGTCAGAGACTTGGGCCTGGGATCTGGGGAGCTGGCAGCCAGGTCTGCCCGGGTGGTCTCTGACGATGACAAGCAGCGTTTGCAGCTCGACTGTCAGACGGGAGATTTACTTCTAAGGGAGAAACTAGACCGGGAAGAGCTATGTGGCCATAATGAACCATGTATACTGCATTTCCAAGTTTTCCTAGAAACACCAGTGCAATTTTTTCAAGGAGAATTATTGATCCAAGACATAAATGACCACTCTCCAGTATTCGCTGATAAGGAAATCTTCTTGAACATACCAGAAAACAGTCGACAAGGGACTCTGTTTCCATTGAAATTAGCTCAGGATTTGGATGTGGGCAGCAATGGTCTTCAAAAATACACAATCAGTCCCAATTCTCATTTTCATGTTCTTACTCGAAATCATAGTGAGGGCAAGAAATACCCATATTTGGTGCAGGACAAAGCACTGGATCGAGAGGAGCAGCAAGAGTTCAGTTTAACCCTTATGGCCCTGGATGGTGGGTCTCCACCAAGGTCTGGGACCGTCATGGTCCGAATCCTGATCATGGATGTCAATGACAATGCTCCTGATTTTGTTCATACGCCATATGAGGTGCAGGTCCTGGAAAACAGTCCACTGGGCTTCCCAATAGTTAGAGTCTTGGCTAAGGATGCAGATGCTGGAAACTTTGGAAGTGTTTCCTACAACTTTTTCCAAGCATCAGACGAAATTAAACAAACGTTCTCAATCAATGAAGTTACAGGAGAAATCCGACTGATAAAGAAATTAGATTTTGAGAAAATTAACTCCTATCTTGTGGAAATTGAGGCTACCGATGGGGGAGGCCTTTCTGGGAAAGGTACTGTAATCATAGAGGTGGTGGATGTGAACGACAATGCCCCGGAACTGACGATATCTTCACTCACTTCCCCCATCCCAGAGAATGCTCCGGAGACTGTAGTTTCTATCTTTCGAATTCGAGATAGAGATTCTGGAGACAACGGAAAGATGATTTGCTCTATTCCAGACAACTTGCCATTTATTCTAAAACCGACTTTCAAGAATTTCTACACCCTGATAACAGAGAGTCCGTTAGACAGAGAGAAAACAGCTGAGTACAACATCACCATCACCGTCACTGACTTGGGATCACCTAGTTTGAAAACTGAGCACAAGATAACCGTATTGGTTTCAGACATCAATGACAACGCGCCCACGTTCTCCCAAAATTCCTACACCCTGTTCATCCGAGAGAACAACAGCCCTGCGTTGCACATAGGCACTGTCAGCGCCACAGACGCAGACTATGGCACCAACGCCCAAGTCACCTACTCTCTACTGCAGTCCCACGACCTGCACCTCCCCCTATCCTCTGTGATCTCTATCAACGCAGACAATGGGTACCTGTTTGCTCTTAGGTCATTAGATTACGAGGCCCTGCGAGCGTTCCAGTTTCGCGTGGGCGCGGCAGACGCAGGCACCCCATCGCTGAGCAGTGAGGCACTGGTACGAGTTGTGATCGTGGACGACAACGACAACTCGCCCTTCGTGCTGTACCCACTACAAAACAGCTCTAATCCCTGCTCCGAACTAGTGCCCAGGGCGGCCGAGGCGGGCTATCTGGTGACTAAGGTGGTGGCTGTGGACGGTGACTCCGGCCAGAACGCCTGGCTGTCCTACCAGCTGCTCAAGGCCACGGAACCCGGACTGTTCAGCGTGTGGGCTCACAACGGCGAGGTGCGCACCGCCAGATTGCTGAGTGAGCGCGACGGGGCCAAGCACAGACTGGTCGTGTTGGTCAAGGACAATGGCGAGCCGCCAATGTCCACCACTGTTGCGCTGCACGTGCTTCTGGTGGACGGCTTCTCACAGCCTTACCTGCCACTTCCGGAGGTGTACCCGGACGAGGCCCAGACAAACTCGCTCACCATCTACTTGGTCATTGCGTTGGCGTCTGTTTCATCACTCTTTCTGTTCTCCATCCTCCTGTATGTCGCGATGCGGCTGTGCAGAAGGAATAAGGCTGCCTCGGTGGTCCGCTGCTCGGTGCCTACGGGTCACTTTTCTGGTCATTTGGTGGACGTGAATGGCACTGGAACTTTGTCCCAAACCTACCAGTACGAAATATGTATGACGGGAGACTCTAGGACCGGTGAGTTCAAATTTCTGAAGCCCATAACCCCCAATCGCTTGGCTCAGGAGACTGGGAGAGAAGTGAAAGAAAACTGTAGGAATAGCTTTGTGTTCAGTTAAATATTGTATTTGGTCTAGTGAATCATTAATTTTGTTAAACCTAACTCCAATTAAAATACCTTTCTTTTAAGAATTTATACTCCTACCTAAATATCCATATAATAATTTCAAGACTACCTAAATATTCACACCACTATTCCAAGACTCTGTTGCTTTTCTATTGACATTAATTGCACTTAGTGGTTTCCATTATTCTAGATATTGAGTATGTGTATGTGTTTTCCTCATATTTGACCTTCACTTGGTGATTACTCTTTTTTTCATCATTATATATAACTAAAGTAAGAACAGAATTTTAGTAAACTTATTAAATTAGTTAATATGTTTTATTAATAAAATGTTTTACAGATTTTATGTAATCTAAAATTTCTGTATGCTTTTGGTGTTTCTTTTTTGCCATATAAGTATCTTTGCAAGGGTAGAGTGTTTAAAAATCTTTATAGCTACTTAAACTTCTCTCACTAAACCACCTGTATATATCCATGAGCATGTAACTTAACATACATATTTGTTTCTCCCAAATTTTATATAAATATGAACTGTGTTATTGTTAAGTGCCATGGAGTTGGTTCTGACTTTTAAGTGACCCCATGTAGGGTCTCCAAGAAGCAGCTGGTGAGCTTGAACCACCGGCCTTGTGGTTCAAATCAACCTTGCAATCCAGCATATTAACACACAGTACCACACCAGGAGTTCACAAATATGAACTATACTAAATATGAATACACTAAAATTGTGACCCTTCTTCATTGTGAACACTATATATGGTAGATATTATCATATTTATTTGCTACCTATGTGTCATATTGTAAGTGCCCTCTAAGTACTCACTCATAACAAGTTTGTAAAAACTTGATATCCTTTTCATTGAATAAATCTTTTAGCTCACTGCTTGATATAATCCTTTAAAAATTATCTCATAATCTGAAATAAGCACTAAATCCTTTCAAATAAGTCAAGACTCTTGATGGCATCATATTATCTCCTTGTTAACAAGCATTCAAGTAGAGTTTAAAATGTGCATTTCTCTTGGTTTTCCTGGAGCTTCTCTCCACTTTTCAAAAGATTCAGGAAATTTCTTCAGAGTTTTGGTCATACTAGAATATTCAAGACTATCATATTATCCCAGATTTTCACTTTAAGTTACTTGCAGACATGGACAGTCTTTGTCAACAAAATAAAGGCTTCTTTAGGATGTTAAAATTATTTTCTTTCTTCTTCAATAGAGTTTTCAAGTATTTTGTGTAAAATTTTTTCCCCAAATATACTGAAGTTGAATTTATATGAAATAAATATTTATCCCTAAAAAAAAGCAATAGTAATGAACTGAATTGTAATAGCTTTGCACTGTTTAATAAGGCAAGAAAATTTATTTTGTAATTTCCAACTAGCTAAATTTATGTGAATATAACTATAAGACCACTTGCTTGAGCTTTTGGCAAAATGTGAGCAATTGAAGAGCTTACTTCATAATCCAAACTACATATTTTTTAAGTATCAAGTTTTATTTAACTGTAGTTTAAGTACATGATTTTATCCTAAATTACGTTTCCTAAGTGTAGTGGTTAGGAAACCGCAAGGGCTGTGAACCGCAAGGTCAGCAGTTTGAAACTACCAGCTGTTCCGCGGGAGAAAGAGGAGGCTTTCTGCTCCCGTAAAGATTTACAGCCTTGGAAACCCTGCACAGGGTCGCTATGAGTCAGAACCGACTCCATGGCACATAGCCACCACCACCAAGGATATTATAATAAAAAACAAAGGAAAGTACTGATTGTTCAATTTATTCTGAAAACATAGCTTTTAGCTTCCATCCAATCTAAAACTTGAAATGAGGAAGTGATAAAAATGAGACATGAACACAAATATATTGACATAAACTTGGTCAACTTTATGACCCTTCCATTAATTATTAGTTACTAAATTAAATAGCTTGTACATTTGGTGACACATAAGAAATCTTATTGCATTTTTCACCAATTTATTTCAGTATAATGAAAATAAAAATTTATTACTTTTTTTATACCAGGAAAGTCTGTTTTTGTTTATACCAGAAAAAAAAAAATGAGATTGACCAAACTTAAAAAACTTACCTCATGAAGCGTGGATCATTTCTTATCAGTGAAGGACCACTATTAGACTTTGGTGTAGAATCAATTGGCTTTTCAAAATTTAATTGTTAGAATTTGGTAACAAAGATGATCCAAGTAGGAACAAAATGTATATACCTTATGAAAACTAGGACACTTCAATTGTTGAAAAATAAAATAGAGAATGGAGGTCAAATATCTTGATAATAACACCCATTTCAATATCAATCTTATGTAGTTTCCCAAATGTTTCTATTATGTGTGCATATTTTACAATGCTTTTGTTGTTTTTAGGTACAGCATATATTGAGTTTAATACATGCTGTTTGTGGGACAGAAGTTCTACTCAAATCAATGTAGCCAACAATCTTTAAGATCTCTTCTTTTGCTCCCCAAAGTTACAAAGTATATATTTTAAACTGTCTGGAGTTAAAAATCATGCTCATATTTTGTGAAGTTCTGCCCCCAGGTTAAATGCATTGTCTAGTTGGAAGTATCAGAAAGCAAATCAATAAGAAGTGAAGAGGCTAGATCCTTAAAAAGAAAATCCTTGGAGATGACATCTACAGTTAATTTGCTAAGTCTAAGGACAGACAAAATATTCCTGTTAGGGACAGAGTAACTTCAATACCATTGGCAAACTGTAGGATTCAAGCTTCCCCTCAAGGTACTGCAGAGGGACAGATAAATAAGGATGGAAATTTTCTGAGAAGCAAAGGAAAGTTTTAATATGCTTGATGTACAAAGATTAGAGTTCAAGACCTGCCATGGGATTTGGTTATGGAGAAAACACCAAGTTCTCAGTTGAAAACTCTGGAGGGCAAGTGATTACCAGAATTGCAAAGAAACTTGACTAAGAAGAGTGCCTTCATAGGATAAGGCCACTTTATTAAACACTGTTCTGCCAAGTTAATGGAAAGGTAAATTCTTTCTGGAGGAAGATAACATCAACTGAATATTTTACTCAGTATTCAATAAGAAATTTACTTAGCATGTACACACACAAGCTGGATGACCCAAATAAAACCTAAAGGGAAAAAAACCGAAATGACTCACGGATGGTCCAGATATTAGAATTAATTGATTGTTGTTGTTGTTGTAAAGTGCTATTGAGTCAGTTCCAACTCATAGTGACCCAGCATAGGGTATCTGAGGAGTGGCTGGTTAGCTTGAACCACTGACCTTGCAGTGCAATGCATTAACTTGCAGTGCCATACCAGAACTGATAGTGTTGTTAAATAAGAATGACTTACTGAAATTTAAAAATGGAAATTAATTCTAGAACTGAGAAATATAATATCTAAAATGAAAAACTGTTTAGATGTTTTAATGACATGGTGCACATAAACGAATGCTGTGTAAGTGGATCAAGCCAGGTCATCGTAAAATATTCAAATAGAAACAAGGAAAAAATAGAAAAATGCAGAAAAGAACATTCATGACATGTGGAACATATGAAAAAAAAAATGAACGTACATGTACTTGAAATCCTAGACTGAAAAAAGGGAATAAGAATGGGGAATAAACAATATTTGAAAGGACAATGACCAAGGATTGAAAAAAAAACTGATGAAAAACCTGAGCTGAAAGCACTCGGAGTAAATAAAAAAACAAAGCATTCCTAGACACATTATAGGAAGGCAACTAAAGGACAAACCCAAAGAGAAAATTCAAAAGCAACCACATACAAGTGACATAATACATTTAAAGGAGCAATAACAGATGAAGAGACGACTTCTTAACATAAATTGTGAAATCAGAGCACAAAAGAATGATGTTTTAAAATGACATTTTAAATATTAATCGCAATAGAATTCTACTACTTTCCTGAATTGCATTTTCAGGCAAAAACAGATAATTCCAGTCATACCTGCACTAAAAGAAATACCAAATTGAAATCATCAGACATAAATAAAACAGTTTTAAATGAATTACAGAATTTAAAGAAGGAATGAAAAGCAACAGGAAGGATAAGTACAAATTAATCCAGTGACTGAATATTGATTAATAGCTTCCTAAAGGATTTTAAATATATGTAAAGTTTAAATTAATAATGATACAATAAAAGGCACAAAGGATAAACGGAGGTAAATAGTTCTAATCTTCTAAGAGCATTTTGCTGAAGATAATTTTAAAATGTTTGCAACAGTACATTGACAAAGAACTGCCAGAAATTCAAGTCAGATTCAGAAGAGGACATAGAACTAGAGACATTATTGCTGACATCAGAAGGATCTGGCTGAAAGCAAAGAATACCAGAAAGATGTTCAGTTGTGCTTTATTGACTATGCAAAAGATTTTGACTGTGTGGATCATGACAAACTATGGATAATATTGTGAAGAATGGATATTCCAGAACTCTCAATTATGCTCACAAGGAGCCTGTATATAGACCAAGAGGTAGTTGTTTGAACAGAACAAGGAGATCCTGAATGGTTTAAAATCAGGCAAGGTGTGTATCAGGGTTGTATCCTTTCACCATATTTATTTAATCTGTATGCTGAGCAAATAGTACAAGAAGCTGGATTATAAGAAAAAGAATGTGGTATCAAGAGTGGAGGCAGACTCATTAGCAACCATCAATATGCAAATGATAAAACCTTGCTTGCTGAAAGTGAAGACCCCTAACAAGGTGATTTGGCACAGTTGCAGTAGCAATGAACTGAAGCTTACCAACGATTGTGAGGATGGCACAGACCTGGGCAGTGTTTTATTCTGTTGTTCATAAGGTCACAATGAGTTGGAACTGACTCGATGGTACCTAACAACAACAGTAAGTCTAGTCAAGAAAAATTAGAAAATACCAACTACCAATATCAACAACTACCAATCCTGTTGTTGTTGTTGTTAGCTGCAATCTAGTCAGCACCAACTCACTGCAACTCTATGCACAACAGAACGAAACACTGCCTG